AGTAGCCCTCCTCCCCTTCGGAAATTTACCTCTTTCAGACCCCCCTACCCCTCGGAATTTCCGTGACCCTCCATGGGGGGGAGGGGGGGTATGGAATGGATATTTTCTGGAACCACACAATAAGCATCTGTAGCCATTATCCTGCTTGGCATGACTATGTTGCATAATGATCTACTAAATTACTGCGCATTTCAAGCATGGATGCATTCACTTAGCAGGAGGAAGAGAAGAAGCTTAGTTAAATGCAAAATACTGTATTCACCAAGCTACATGTACAAGTATGTTTTTAAACCCCTCCTGGGTGGAATGCTAGTCCATAATCCAGCAGTTAATTTGAAGATCTCCAATCATACTCCTGGGTAGAGAGAGAGACAATAGAGCAAAGTGTCTTGTCCAAGGACACCATATATACAATGACCTCAGCCAACAACCCTACTCCTCCCTGGGAGTGGGAAGAACAGAGACTCTGGGGATACTACTGCCTGGCCAGGACTCAAACTAAGAGTGCTATAAGTTGATATAACCATTAACTGAAATGTGCCTCACTTTCAAGGTTATACCTGACCTGCAAATGCAGACGTATTTCCAGCTGTCACTTGGTTCTGCCGAAAAATAACGTCTGCAAACCCAAGCCAGGAAACAATTTCTGTGACGTAATGACTTTTGTTTCTCCTTGGTCAATTAGATTCCATCATAGATTGAAACTCAAGTGCTCCTCGCAGCAAATACCTCACGCAGTAGTTCTCGGGTTATTTGAGCCAAACTGTGATTGGCTCATAATTCCTACGTCACAGAAATCGTTTTCTGGCTCGGGTTCGCAGACGTTATTTTTCAGCAGAACCAAGTGACAACCGGAAATACGTCTTTGTTCACAGACTAGGTTATACCTTGAATAGTTCAGACTGAGACAAATTTCAAGACACTTACCGTTACTGCTGGAAACCCCACTAAAGGGAGAAGAACATGATGAAGAATGATGAGTTTCTTCTTTCTGTAGAACTTTGTCCATATATAGTGCAGGCTTCTCTGTGGATCTTCCTGTTTGTCCTCCAGATAGGCTCCAATAAACATCACCACCACATCATAATAGAAATAACTCAGTCCAAAGCATGCATACAGGACTAGGATTGGTTGCCTGGAATATCACGTGAACATAGTACAGTGATTCTACAATTTTTGTGACAACTGTCAAAATGACTGTGAGTAACCCAACAGGGTTCCCATGACAGTTAGAGACAAAACAAATCAAGATGTGGAGGAGATTTAGCATCCCAGCAGCATGACAATGCATGCTTAACTTCAATAATACTTAATGGCTTCCTTTTCTCAATCAGCGAGTGAAGATAGCGAGCAGGAGAGGGAATCTGGAGATAATAGCTGATCAAATTTAGGCAGTAGAAAAACTATACATAATTTGTTTTATTCTTAACAATGAATTGAAGTATGAAGATGTGGCTGATCATTGCAGTTATACACACAACTTAGGCAGCTGTGAAATTCAGGCCCAGAAAAAAAAGAATTGAAGTTTTAGCTTGATTTTATGTCTTAGCTTTATTCAATGGACCAGAGTAAAAGTTGTGCTTTAATTAGGATTGCTTTTTGTTGTACAGTTCCATGAATTATCGAAAGAACGTCATCAGTGTAAAATTGCTCAAAAATCTGGGGCAGGCTTCAATTTAAGCCAAAATGTTTAAAGGACTGTTCTTACAAAGCTAAACATTACAGTAACTGGAATGTTCAGAGGGACCGTGGGGGGGGGNGGGAGGTTTCCTACCAAAACCCTTCCAGGGTAGGGCTATCAGCCTATGGCTATTTCTATTGCCAATTACCATGTTGCATGGCAGGAACAATGAAAATGTTTTGTACTAGAAAGAACATATTTTCCCATAGGAAAAAGAATCTATAGTTCCTGCCATGCAACATAGCCGCTGTGCAAAACCAGTCTAAATAGTGGCTAAGATACTTAATGGCAGTCACAGGGAAGGTGTAATCAAGGCTCTCTTTAATTTGTTAAATTGTTAATTTGTGAAAAAAATTCTGCCTTCATTTCATTTTACAACTTATTGACTCCTACTGTACAACAAGAAACAGAGAGTGATGGGAAATTAAACAGTTTAGGAGAATGCTTTAGTGAGAACAAAGAATAGTAGAATTATTTAATGGCATGTAAAAAAAATGCGAGAGTACTCTTACCAACTGATAATAAAAACAGCCATTTATGATAAATATATACATGTAATTACTTTGTTTTATTGAGTGTAATTTATTCTTTTGAATTAGTTTTGCAAGCTTTAATTAACAAGATTTAAGGACCTCTTTCTCTCAATCTGAATGCCTGTTTGCATTTGTGGTTTAGTAAAAAAGAAATGTACAAAAACAATTGCTCCAAATATCATTTTTTTTACAACTACTAATTGCATGCCTGACATTTTCACGCAAAACCCAAATTATCTGAGAAAGGAAAAAATTGAAACCGTGTAATCCTGCGATCAGATACGCTAAATTTTGGGTATAGCATGTCAAATTGGGCGGTGAAATTTGCTCCCCGCTGACTTTTGATTGGATAAACTTTCAAACCACCACCACTGTAATTTTTTTGGAAAAAGAGTCGTCTATATGATGTCAAATCAGAGAAAGGATTGTTTCTATTAAGGCGATCTATAATACATGACAAAACGCGCGCTAAAGAAATGGGTGTTACTAAAATTTCGGTGGTGATTAAATTCACCGTTTTCACCATAAAAAAATAAATTAAAATAAAAATATTTCGTTTCTCGCTCTTTAGCAGAAACTATAGTGAAGTTATACATACTATTGTCAAATTTCAAAGATGCGATATTTTTTGAAGCATATACTGTCCAAATCCACCTGTTTCTCGGACTTTGACAAGAAAACAATTTGTCTAAATTTACCTCGATTGAAAATGTCAACAGATGTTCAAGGGCCGTCGAAAAGAGGCACAGAAAATCTGACGATGCCGTTTGCCAGTGAATGCTTTCAACGATACCAAAACACACAAGCTCTCGACACGGCATAACAAGCAGCAAAATGTCGAAATGAGAGCTTATCAGTTCAAGTAATTAATTGTTCGCGGAAGTCGCTTTTACCTGTCTAGCATAATGTCGGTGGAAGTGAAAACAACTTTTAAACCAACGATAGAAGCAGCCAGTGCTTGAAGGGAAGAAACAAACCTGCCGAAATTAAACAGCAAAAATGACTGATGGAAGAAGTTATTTTACCTCTTAAACACATCTAAAACTATCAAAAATATTCCAAGCCGTCCATGGCTGGTGTAAATATCAGTTTACGCACTCGCTTCTCAAAAATTCTACAATAATGTATTCTTCACCTACCGTGTACTAATGGAAAATCTGTCGACATAACTTAGTCTTGGTGAAATATATCTTTGGAGATATGTGAAGAGTACGTGGGACAACGGAAACGTGAAGAAGCCGGCTATAAACAAGTGTAAGCCCACCATTTTCGCGACGTGATTTCCCATGCACGCAAATGCTAATTTTGGTTGTTGTCAATTTTCGGGGTCATCGGTGAACATCACGCCACTCTCCCGATAATGCTGCGAAGATTGTTCGGGACGACCGATGTCGTTTTCCGAGGCTGTCCGATATTACTGACAGTGCACTGAGAGGTTGTGGAACTTCTTTTTAGGGGCGAAAATGAGAAGATCGAGAAATCCAACTTCTTCGGCGACGAGTCAGTCTAGCAGTTTAGCGACTGGTTCTTCAGGCAACAGCACCAGCACAAACACAGTTCCTTCCCTGCTCAAAGAACTTCACGGTCTTGTGCTGCAAATTCAGGTGATGTTTAGAACACTTTACCAGCTTTAGTCTTAATTCAAACCTTTGTTTTCTGCCGATTAAGTAGTGGAGTTATCTATGTTGACGATATCCCCATACATGCCATTTTATTACCACAAGTTTTGCGAGTGACAAGATTCCAATCTTTGAAATCTTCAACAAAGGATGAAAGACGCCATATTGAAGTTGAAGAAAAGGGCCTGGGGAGAGTGAAATGAGTTGAACTAACCGTGCCAGTAATGAGGCCCTGTTGGGGGTAACTTCCAACAAGCGACATGGCCTTGAAACGGCAACACGACAGCCACGAACTGAACGACAGACTACTCCAGCGAAATAGGGAAAGGGACACCAATGTCAAAACAGACCGACAGCAAATTTCAGATTTGTGAAAGCAGTGAATGTTTTAAACAACAACGTCAATAACGTTTCAATAAAACCAATAAATGAGTCATAAATACGTCTCATTTTACTGACCAAAATATATTAATGTCATTAATGACATTAATTAACAAAAACTAATATCCAACTAGGGCTCGTCACAGAGGAGGATTTCGTGACAAGTCCAAAGAGCATCTGGGTAGGAGACTAGACCCACATGCACGTGCACTCCATCTATCTGTCATTTGTTCGAGATATTTTACTTCATCTGTCACCGAGATACTATAGCAGGCAAAGTGGATGTAGGACATTTTCAGAGAGGAGACAACTTTGTCAAACTGACAGAGATGTTGTACGAGACATTTCTTAGATATCAAAATGAAGTGGAAGATTTTCTGCCAGACAAAGGAAGTTGCGAGGAGACCAGCAACCTTGACTCCGAAGATGAAAGCCAAGCAGACGGTGGTCTTTGGCAGAGTGCCCTTGTGTACATCATCTGGAAGGAGTGTTATTCGCCCAGACCGTTTGAACCTCTGAGTAGAGCTTTTGAAATGATAGACAGCCCTAAAATATATACTATTATTACTCCATTGCTGTTGTGTCTTCAGTGACTTCAGTGGATGTTTTAGTATTCTCTACATTGCTATCATGTCAAATTTGATACAAGGCATTCACTTTTAACCGGTAGTGTCACATCAATTTGTTATTTTATTGGGGTCATTACTAGTCTAGCCATGGATCAAGGTTGAATAAACTGCACCTACAAAAACTGAAAGTCACTGTGGTCTCAGTTTTCAAATTATCTTCTTATCATTATTAGTATTATTATTATTATTATTATTAATA